CAAGTATATACAGTGTATAAGTGTTTGGGAGCCCAGATCTTCCTAACTCCCAAGTTTAGTTTACTATTTACTGCACCAGGTAGGGTAGAGTGGTTTCTGAGGGGTGCTCTGCCTAGCCATTCGCATTCAACCTCAGGTCATTCCTCTGTGATGTGTGCTGTGAGAGTCAGAGAACATGGATCCTGTCCTTGAGCAGTTTGAAATAATTCACAGGTATGAAACAATTAAGCATGCTGCTTTGCCTGTTCTAATGACACCCAAGAATTTATGGTACAGATAATCAGGGATGTAGGAGTTAAGAGAAAGATGCCACTGTGGGTTGGAATAGTCAAGGAAGGCTTCTCAGAGTAGATAGACTTTGAAGGATAAATAGGGTTAGGATAGAGAAAGGACAGGCAGGAAGGAAGGAACTATTAGACTTAGAATCAAAAATGAACCTAATTACATGGAATGGGGAGAGAAGTGATGAGAAGCTCGGCCCTGGCCTGGCCAGATCCCAAAGAGAGGGGAATCGGTAGAGGCAGATGCAGAGTCTAAGGTCTTGAATGCAAGGTTTCCTTTTTTCCTATGGGAAGCAGGTTTGGCTGCAGAGGGGCTGGGGAGGAATGTCAAGATTTCAGAAGTGGGTGAAGTCAGATGTGAGTGAGCTCTGGGAGCCCTTTGCACCAAGACGATGAATCACCAAGGGGAAGTCCTTATCTATGACTGTTGCTTCCTTACAGCAGCCCTGGAGCTGGCAGAGCTAAAGGCTTCAGTTCTGAGATGTTCCTGGCGTAATGGCCCTTGGGGAATGTGCAGGGGCTGGAAGGGGAGGAGGGAGGCAGCTGAGAATAGTGGGAAGGAGTCTGAGGGTGGGAAGGGGGGTGCAGCAGGAAGAGGTCAGACTTATCTTTATCACAAAGGTCTGAAATTAGTGGAACTTAATGCGTATCTCCCCAAATTTTCCCCAACATCCATTTACTGGAGAGGAGGAGAATGGGGAGGATTCTTTTGTCCTTACTCTTCATTTGATCGTCACAGTACTCCATGCAGTAAGCAGAATAGGGATTAGTTCTATTTTATACATGGGGAAAATCCAATACAAAGAGGTAAAGGGCCTCATGAAGCCAGCCAGCAGAACTAGAACCCAAATCTTCTGACTCCCATTCCAGTGTTCTTTCTTCTAGATTCCAGCTGGAAACAGGCATTTGTCACTCCAGATGAGACATTTTGAACTCCAGCCTTTTGCTGTGGCCAGCCATGGCGAAAGTCATTCCCTTTGGCCATCATGTATGTCTTCTAGGTTCCCCCCTACATTGGTGGGGCCCATGAATACCCCCAACCCTACCCATCCTTTAAGGCAAACCTTAAGTTAATCCCATCTTGCTTGACTATTGAAGTATCTAGTGATCTCTCTCTTATCTGTCTGTTGCCTGATAATGTCACACAGTTGGTTTACATGTATGAATTCTGTCTACCCCGGTAGATAGGAGATATTTTATTTTCTTTATTTCTCCTAACTGCCAGGAAGTCAGTAGAGTTTGAATGATTGATGGGCAGTACCTTAAACAATGAGGAGACTACATTTTCTTAAGAGTCACCTTTAACACAGTGTGGCAGTAAGGCTGGGGGTGGGATAGGGAAGGAAGATAGAAGGGATCTTTACAACATGATCTGGGACTTCTAAGTGCCTGATCTACATGGTTTGTTTGATCTGAATTTCCAGTCCTGCTGGCTCTGGTTTCCTCTGAGTATCTGCCTCCCCTTTTCAGGGGACTGGTCTCTGCAGAGAGGGAAGGGGAGAAATGTGGGCATTTTTTTCCTCTCTGTGGCCTCTGTTGGCTAAGCCAAGAGGCAGACACAAGAACCAGGGGTAGCAGCTGCCCCAGGGCTGGAATATACCTGTGGTTATAGACCATTTTCTTTCTCTTTGTCAAGTTGCTGAAAAGGACATTTAATTTGCATCTTTTGTGGGGCTAGACCAGGCCTAGGTTCCTCTAGAGGTGGTCCTGGCTCCTTGGTCCTACTCTCTCAGAGTCCTAACTAGTAAGCCAATACTTTGTGCACATACCTATGCCCTCTCCCTGGGCTTCTGGGAGGTGCTGCTTGGTTGTCCATTTTCAGGGAAGACTTGAGTTCCTGGGACATGTAGCCCTGAAAATGTGGAGGGCAGATGATGTTTTTACAGGAAATCCACACATCTGGAGGGCCAGCTAGGCTCCTCTACTGTGAGGGCTAAGTCGTGGACCAATCACACATTGTCCTGTTTTGTTCTCTCACAGCTTCATGAGGACGGGCCTTTCCTTTTCCAGCTAAATCAGGGTTCTTAACCTGTAGTCCACTTGGACAGGAAAAAAAATTGTATCTTTATTTTCACCAACTTCTAACTAAAGTTTAGCATTTCCTTCAATTATGAATGTAGGCAAAAACTATTACTCTGAGAACGAGTCTATAGCTTCATCAGAATGCTAACAAGGCACATGATGCAAGAAAGATGAAAAAATCCCTAAGCTAGACTGCCAGCCAACAAGCAGTTATTAAATGCCCATTATGTGCCAAGCATTGTGCTAAATGCTAAGGATACAAAGAAAGGCAAAAATGCTGCCCCTGCCTTCAAGGAGCTCTGAGCTCCCTGAGGGAAGAGCCATTTCTTCAGTGAACCTTCATTTCCTCATCTGTAAAATTAACCAAAAGGACTCTCTTGCCCAGAGGTGGGTGGGCAGGCTGGATAAATATATCCCTCCTTGTTCCCCTACCAGAAAGTCTTCCCTTGTAACAAAGATTTAAAAAAAAAAAAAGGTCAGTAAAAGTAAGATGTAGGTAGCACGTCTGGCAGCATAAACAAATTCCGCTCCCATGATCTCCCACCTCAAAAGAAGAGAGGTGACTTTTCTTGTCTTTTCCAGGGGGCCAGGCTTGTTCATTGCAATTACATTATGTTCAGTTTCTAGCACTCTTAGGGTCCTTTTCTGCATTAAGTTTCTTCTCTTGTAAGGCCCCTTCCAGCTCTGACGGTTTCATTAGTTTTTCTTTTGTCTTTCCTCCCGTTCTTTTCTTAGGGTTAATCCCACAGTAGGTACTTACTAAGTTCTGACCAGTTTGTCGATTAGCTTGTAGTTGAAGTTCCCCAGAGCTGCTTTTCTCTAACCTCTCCGGCTGAAGCAAGTCATTGGTGGTCTCTTCAAACCCCCACCCCTCTGCTCAGTAAATGTTTGGTATTCCATGGGACTCTGAATGGTGGATATTCTCCCCTAGCTGGGCCCCATACATGTTGTAGATTTTTGCCAGATAAGGGGGAGATTATCAGTCACAATCAGGGGTGGCTGGTGCAGGGAAAATGAGAGACTTTCCTTTGGCCTCTTCCAGGAGTTTTTTGTTTGTTTGTTTGTTTGTTTGTTTGAGTTTGTAACATCTTAATTTTAGTTTCTCTGGAAACCATAATCCTCATTCCCTTTGCTTTAGGAGAGAGCTCTATTGCCCCCAGACAAAGGGGTGGCTGTGCTCAGCATGGAAGTTTTAAAGGCAGATTGAAGATTAGGTACTTAGTAGATATTAATACTAGTTTTATCCACCTTGAGTAAACAGTATCTTCTAGTTTCCCCCAGGAACCATTTCCCCCTCTTTTCAAGAGTCACTGTCCTTGGGTTGTGAGGATTGAAGTTTAGCTCTCCATGTGTACAGGTGAGGGAAGTGAGATAAAGACCCTGAGAAAGTAATTATTTGCCAGTTTCCTGATTATCGGCATTAACTGCCACTGGAGAACATCCAGTGAATGTCCCATAAAACCTGCTTTTGAATCTTGAGATTCTCAGCACAGGGTCCTTGGCATGGTGTGTGAAACCAGTCTCCTGGAGGATAAATTTTTATGAAGTGACTATGTCTGCACTTTAGTTTCTGGCAAGAATTAATGATTGACTTTTGATATCGCCTAGCCAGTGCATCTAAAACAGGACCAGAATTCCTGTCTTATAGGCTCATAGATCACAGAATGACAAAGTTAAAAGTGACCATCAAAATAAACCCTTTCATTTTACAGATGAGGAGACTGAGAGAGAGAGAGGAAATGGTGATATGCTCAGGGTAACACAGTGAGGCCACACAGAATTGAGGTCTCCAGACTCTGATCCCAGGGTACTTTCCAAACAAACCTTTATCTTACACTGTACTTATATGTTGCTAAAGGTATTTTTTTTTCCTTCGGTAGGATGTTTAGAAGCAGTAGAGTGAGTAGCCTTTGGGCTTTTTGTCCTTTGGACCATGAACCAAAAACATTTGTGAAAAACTATTGTGATCAACATACTAAGTGAAAATTAACTCTAGGGAATTTATTTGGCATTGTGACAAATGTGCAGTCAGTCAACAAGTCCTTCCCAAATTCCGTGCTCCAGGCTTTGTGGTTAGCTATGTTATTTAGAAGTTAAGAGAAGGTATCACACAGTCCCTGCCCTCCATGATCCCGAAGTCTAATCAGGGCAAGGGTTTTTTTTACCTTGTTGTTAAGGACCTGTCTGGTTAAACCTCTTTGCATGATAATTATAATAGTTAACATTTATATAGTTTTTTTAAGGATTGTAAATTGCTATAAATATATTGTCTCAATTGATTCTCACAATGACTCTATGAGGTTATTATCCCCATTTTATAGTTGAGTAAACTATTATTTTCAGAATTATGTTTTTAAATGCAGTTACCTTTTCTGTACCATGGGAATCATAAATATTTGCTCTACCTACCTCTAAGGAGTGTTGTAAGGCAAGTGTTTTGTAAGCCTTAGAGCAAGTCAGTATCTATTGACTATCCTGCTTACCTCACAGACTTCCTGTGGGGACCACATAAGGTTGAGGTCAGTTCCTAAGGGAATAGTGGACACAGGGACTTGACTGTGTCTGTGTTGGATACTTGGAGAGCCATTCAGAGTTTTTAGAATAGGAGGGGACTTTGATGATGGGGGGGAGCTATGTGGTACTCAGGGATCAGATCCCCTTTTCTGGATTCTGTCTGACCACTTTCCTTACCCCTAGGGCCAATACTGTGATATCTGCACATCAGCCAATGTCAACAAGGCTCATCCCATTACCAATGCAGTGGATGGAACAGAACGATGGTGGCAGAGCCCTCCACTCTCCCGGGGTTTGGAGTACAGCGAAGTCAATGTCACCCTAGACCTGGGCCAGGTAAGACCAAGGGAGCATCTCCCCTCACTGGGGCCAGGGCTGATTAGCAGAAAACCAACTTTTTCTCAGAGCCAGGATCCCTGCTAGGGCACATGTTTGTGGGTTTGGGAAGTCAGGGAACCAGCTGCAGTTCAATTCTGGACTGCTGTTTTTTGCTTCATGCCCTCTGAAGGATTTAGTGTTGGACTAAGGAGGAATCTGGCGCTTCTCTTCCTCCCCTCCCCTTGAGTGTACTGTAGCCTGCAGCCTCTGTCCTGTCCTTAAGGGGGAAGGGGGGTGTTTGTTCAAACCTGCCATACCTGGAGAAGAAGTACAAACAACATCCTCCTCCTTCTTCCCCAGCCTCCTCCTAAATCTCCCTTAGCTTCTGTCGAATTTTGTGGACTTGATTAAGACTTTGCTACCTGGTAGTTGTTTTTTCCTCCTTCTGCCTTAGCAGGAATCTCTTCTCCTGCTCCCGTCTCTTTGAAAGCATAGTTTAGCTCCCTGCTTGGTGTGCTGTAGGTGGTCAGCAAACATGGCCAACTTAGCTGGCTGAGGTAAAGAACTGTACCGAACCAGAGTTATCTGTTCTCTGGCATGGGAGGCCTGTCAAAAGGGCAGGTGCTAGCCTCCCCTCCTCCCCTCTTTGAGGTATGAAGGCAGCTGTCCTGAAGCTGTTGTGACTCTGAGTGGGGAGAGCTTGGTCAAAGCTTTGGGTACAGTGCTGCTGCACGTCCCCCCACTACAAGGGGGAAGGGGAGGGAGTATTGACTGGGAAAGCACTTCTCCACTGAATGAGGAGGCAGAACTTGGCTGAGAGCCCTGGGTACAGAGCTTGCTGTCATCACCAAAAGAAGTCTCCACCCTCCGTTTGGCTCACCCTTTCACCTCCATCTGACCACTGGTCTTTCCCTTATCATGATTTTAATGGACTCTTCTGGTACAGACTTGGCCATGGGTTTTCTGGAAACTGGATGAGACCCCAGGGAAATGACAAGGGGCAGCAGATGGAATGCAAGATGGGGAATGGCTGGGGAGGGGGGGACCAGCCTGGGGCAATTGGCAAGATAGAGGTGGAAATTCCAGAGATACCTGTGTGTGAGGGGTTCAGATGAGTCTAGTCTGTGAGTAGCTAGGGCACAGGTAACAAACCTGCTGGGGCCTCTGGGAGCCAAGTTCTTTCCTACAAAGTATGTCTGGGTTTCACTGTCCTGACTGCCTTCTTTGGGCTGTTGTTCTGGTATAATTTGGAAGGGTCACGCCAGATGGGAGACCCCCAGTGAGGCAACTCTGTCCATCCTGCTTGTAACTTTAAGGTAGTGTGGGTAGGGCTGTTCTCTCTCCAGCCTTTCCTGCACAGGCTGACAGATGGATCTTCCTAAAGTATCTGAACATGTCCTTCCCTTGCTCATAATCTCTCAATGGCTCCCATTGCCCAGCAGATCAAGTCTGGACCTTCATCTTGACATTGAATATCTAGCCCTATGCTCTGTATCACCAGCCAAGACAGGTTAGGTGCTCGGTAGGCACTAACCAGTTGAGAGGCAGCACATTAGAATAGAAAGATTCCATCTGAAGGTGGTTGGGTCAGGAAGGATTGGGAGTCAAAAGAACTAAGTTCCAGTCCCAGTTTTGCCTTTCTTGTGTAATCTCGAGCAAGCCATCCCTTCTTCGGGCTTCAGTTTCTCTAGGTAAGATTTCTTTGAACTCTGGCATAGACAGGAAAAGAAGGAAATGTGGCCCTTGCTTTTGGGCCTCCCTTCTCTCCTCTGTAAAATAAGGGGTCTGAATTAGATGACCTATTAGACTCCTTCCAGTCCTGATATTCAGTGAATCAATAGCAAGGAAATATACTTCCTTCATCAAGTCTCCTTGCCTCATCCTGACCATGCTTCATCCTGTCTGTCTCCTTTCATGAGCTATTCCTTCTACCCATACAGACTGGGCAGAGTATGTGTCCTTCATCTTGGGTGATTCATTTTTTCCTTCTCCTGGCCTAGATTCTGCTCCTGGCCCAAATTGGTAAGAAGGGGAGAAAATAGTTTCAAGCCTTGACAAGAGAATTAGGATGGAGTAGAGGGTGGAGTTAAGAGCTCCCGCTACTTTGTTTAGAAAAGGGTGGGGGAGAGACAAGAGTGGAATGCAAACTTGGGAAAGAGTTAAAGTCCATACTTGAGTGCAGGCACTATATATATATGCATGTGTGTGTGTGTGTGTGTGTGTGTGTGTATACACACACGTGTATATACACATATATGTATGTATCTATATGTATATTGCATATATGTATGTGTGTATGTTCTGAATATGGAAATGTGTGGGAGAGGTGTGTGATTCTGGTGTATGGATCAAAGGACTATATAGATTGAGTGGCAAGGGACCTTCGAGGTCTTCTAATCCAACTTTCTCATTTTCAGATGAGGAAACTGAGGCACAGAGTTTAAATGACTTGCCCTAGGTTACACAGGTAGTAAATAGCAGAGCCGTCTTAGGGTTGTTGAGAGGATCAAATGAACTCATACATGTAAAGCACTGTGCAACTTTAATATAAATGCTATATAAATACTAACTTATATTAATACCAATCAAATCAATAAGGATTTATTGAACTTAACCAAGTTCAAGGCACTGTACTTGGCTCTGGGGATACACATGCAAAAATAAAAAGCAGTTACTGCCCTTGAGGGAGATATAACCTGTAAATAGTTAAGCAATGTAAGGTAATTTTAGGAGGGAGATGACACTGATGGCTAGGATGAGATCAGCAAAGACCTTGCCTAAGGAGATGGCCCTTTAGCTGAGCCTGGAAGGAAACTAGGGAGTCTATGCATGCATCTGGAGGTGATTTGTACACTTGGGCATGTTTGCTGGGGGGTTTTGTCAGTGTATATATGACCTCAGATCAGATCTTTAGATTCAAAATCTGAAAGCCCTCACCGTGAGGCAGAAAATAACAGGGACTAGTCATGCTAGTCATGCATGTTTGGTTGACTGATAAGAGCCAGCCCTGGAGAGGGTCAGCAGTGAGAGAGATATCAATGCTTTCCTCTTTTTTCCTTGAGCCCCACATATGAGTGTGGGCAGTAAATACAGAAGGGATCTTGTACCCTCTGTGGCTCCTAGGCTGGTTTGTCATGATGGGTATTTCAGTAAGAACCCCAATTTTCATCATGATTAATATTTGGTTATGGAATTTGTAGCATCATCCATACTCCCTTGCCTAGGGGGCTCTGGGATATGTAGGGAACCTTGAGCCCCTGGGAACATTCTGATCAAGAGAGTAGCACATTGATTGGGCAATGAAAGCATTTATCAAATTCTTACCATGTGACATCCCTGTGTTTGGCTGTGCTGTTGTGACTCTTGAGCAACCCATCTCCTGTATTCAGGAGAGATGGGTTTCTGCCCTCAGAGAGCTATGATAGGGAAACAAATCTAAAACCCAGCGAGCTAAAAATGATATAGGCCAGGATAGAATGTGTGGAAGGCAGGTGCTGTAGGAAACCAGAGAAGGGTGAGCTTTGCGTATGCAAGCTGGGTTAGGCAAAGACTCAGCCTTGATAGTTAACAGCCAGAATCTACTCTGTTGATTTGGTGAGGGCCAATCCCAGGGTCAGTGTGTGTGCCCTTGTATGTATTTAACCAGATGTACATACTGACATTGCCCCACAGCTTACTTTCTTTCAGATCCTGCCTACTGTCTGATATACTTTTTATGTCTGAGCTAAAAATTTCTGTCTACCTTCTGGCTTTGGGAGGTGTTTTGTTTAATTTTTTTTTTGTAAAGAATAGGCTCCTTTGCAGAGGGAAGGAGGTGGAAATCTTACCCTTTGGGAGAGTTTTATGGATCTATATAGTGGAGAATTTCACAGTCAAATTCTGTCCTAATAAACTCATTAGACCCCTCTCCCTCCACCTCTCCTGATCACAGTAGGAGCAGGTAGGTATAGTCTGTGTATTGAGCCTCAAATCAATCTTTTATTCTTCAGCGTTTAAAGGAAAGAAAGATTCTTGTCTGTCTGTGGTTCTATAGGTGTTAACCTGCTTAGGGGCAGATGGCTTGGTGACATGACCTCTGAGGTTATTTTGATGCCAAGCTTAGATCATTAAGCTTCAGGGATTTTTAATGAACTTGCTTCCCCTAAATATAAATTATAAAAGAATTTTTTATGGTTGGCTTTGGGGGTTTGGGAATTAGAGGAATATGGAGAGGCATTATGGTAGGCGTGGGACAGCTAGGTGGCATAGTAGATGGAGCGCTGGGCCTAAAATCAGGAAAACCAGAGTTCAAATCCACCCTCTGACACCTACTGGTTATGACCCTGGGCAAGTCATTTAACTCTTCACCTCAGTTTCCCTAACTGTAAAATGGGGATAATAATTACACCTACCTCACAGGGTTGTTGTGAGGAATGAGGTAATATTTACACAGTACTTAGCACAGTTCCTGGCACGTAGTAGGTGCTTAATAAATGTTTATTTCCTTCTTTCCTAGTAGGAAAAGCACTAAATTTAGAGTTCCATTCTCAGCTTTGCTCCCTACTATCTGTGTGACTTTGAGCAAGTCACTTTTCATCTTTGGTGCTTCCTCATTTTCTCTATCTATAAAATTATATTATTAGATTACAGATGATCCCTAAGGTCCTTTCTAGTGCTAAATCTATGTTTTTCTTATCAAAAGAAATGAAGTTGGGCTTGTTTGGAAGACACAGACTGAGACATAATTCATCTATCCATTGACAAAAATAATTAAGTACCTACTGCGGGGCCCACAGCCATGTCAGGAACTTTGAGAGACAGAGAAGTATATGTTATAGTCCCTGCTCTGCAATATCCCTTTGTGGGAGACTTGTTTCTCTATTTAAAAAGAGTTAAACATAATACAAGGCATTTTGTTCAATGCCCAGAGTGACCAGGGCAAGCTTCCTGGAAGAGGTGGGACTTAGTTGAATAATGAAGGATGGATAAGATATGGCTAGAGAAGGGAAGAAAAAGGGAAAGGGGGAGGTTCTCAGACA